CCCCCCCCCTACCAAAGGGGTAGTTTTCGGTGGAGGAGCAGAGTTGGTAAGTGTTAATATATTATTAAATACTAGCTGAAGTGCCCGGCGTTGTCCGTGGAATAAAAAAGCTAATTTTAAATGTAGATTTTTTTTTAATTTTGAGGAAAAAACCTGATTTTGAAATAAAAAATTTCAATTTTTTAAGCCTATGTTACCCTTGGGGTGCCCATGGGTTCTCTCAAAAAATGTCCGCCCATTTAGTCCAGCCGTTTGTCCAGCTATAGCTAACATATATACAAATATATATATACATATATGAGCGAAGAGCTTTATTATATGGAAGAATATTATATGAAGAATACAGTTATATTCAGATAAACTATTAAATTTAATTAAGTTTAATTAAGTTTGTTTAATTCTATAAAACCGAGTTAATTGCTAAACTTAATAAAAGTTTGTATTCAATATGCGGATAAAAAATTATATACAGTAAGAGTTTTTTTTGACAGAAAACTCTTAGTTATATTGGTTTTTTTTCGTTTTTTTTTTTTTCGTTTTAAAACAGAAAACAAAACAAAAAAATCGTTTAAAAACAGAGCACCAAATTTTTCAAAACGATCGTTTTATAATTTTTTAAAACGACAACTTTTCAAAACGATTTTTTCCGTTTTGCTTTTAAGCAAATCGATTCAAAAATTTCAAAATTTCAATTTTTGAAAAAAAGCTAAAGTGCCCATTTCTATTAATAAGGTTACCTTTGTCCCAAGCATAAAGGTGTGAGTAAACAGATGACAACTAAACATTGATGCAACCGCATCCCGCCTACAGTCTTTAACATAAACCTAAACAGATGATTAAAAAAACTTTATACTTCAGGAACGCAAGATCCAAGGTTATAATGCAAGGAAAGTTAATTGCATTTGCGTATACTCTGCGTACATATGGAAACCAGTTCTCTTTGGGCGGAAAATGAGACTCAATAAAGAGTAAACCTTCTTGAAAGTTCTAATGAGACTCAATAAAGAGTAAACCTACTTGAAAGTTTTAATAGTAGGACTTGTTAAAGAGTAAACCTACTTGAAAGTACTAGTAAGGACTTGTTAAAGAGTAAACCTACTTGAAAGTACTAGTAAGGACTTGTTATAAAGAGTAAATCTACTTAAAAGTACCAGTAAGGACAAGTTAAAGAGTAAACCTACTTGAAAGTACTAGTAAGGACTTGTTAAAGAGTACACCTATTTGAAAGTACTAGTGAGGACTTGTTAAAGAGTAAACCTGCTTGAAATAACTAGTAGGACTTGTTAAAGAGTAAACCTACTTCAAAGTACTAGTAGGCTTGTTAAAGAGTAAACCTACTTGAAAGTACTAGTAAGGACTTGTTATAAAGAGTAAATCTACTTAAAAGTACCAGTAAGGACAAGTTAAAGAGTAAACCTACTTGAAAGTACTAGTAAGGACTTGTTAAAGAGTAAACCTATTTGAAAGTACTAGTAAGGACTTGTTAAAGAGTAAACCTACTTGAAAGTACTAGTAAGGACTTGTTAAAGAGTACACCTATTTGAAAGTACTAGTGAGGACTTGTTAAAGAGTAAACCTACTTGAAAGTACTAATAAGGACTTGTTTAAAAGTAAATATACTTGAAAGAGCTGTTTAGGACTGACAACCTTGTTGCAATGTAACCATGAAACCATGGAAAAGTATATCAAACTAAGATTTCATTAAAAATTAATTAAAAGAAAGTTCAATAAATTATTTAAAAGCCCCTTATATATAATATACAATATTGAACTGTTTAGAACAGTGTATTAAAATAATTTAAAATTAAGAATTAAAAAGACTTGTTTTCTTATTAAAGTAAGAATATTTATTTAAGCTTTTTTATCTTAAAAATATAAAATAAGAACTTTAACTTTTTCAAATAAAAAATTGAGGTAGAAGGATTCGATGATTACGTAACAACTGAAATGATAAATATGTTATGTAGTGAGTAAAAATAAATGTTTTCTATTTGGCCATAATTTTGCATATTTTTTCTCTTTTCTTTTGGAAACCTGTATTTGCAAAAAAAATTTATTTAAACAAATTTAAACTACACCATTTACATATGCATTTATATCTTTGTGTGTGAATAAATCTTTATAATATAATAATTACTTGGGCTGAAAAGAAAATTCTGATAAATGAGAGCAATTAATATTAGAGGGGGTTAGATCTAGAACTTAAATCATATGATGGTTATCTGAAAACTTGAATAAAATATTTACCCTGTCCGATGAAGAGAATACCAGTCTTTTCCTAAACATAATATAATACAGCCTCTAGCTTAATTTATCATCATGCATCATAGCTATTAAGAGAGAAAATCTTATAACATTTTTTTGATTTAGGATGGAATGGGAGATGAGGGAGGGAACCCTCAGACGCCATGAGCCTCCCATATTTGCTAGGCAGACCGAGCCTCTCCTATGCAGTAACGAGCCTCCACCATGCAGACCAAGCCTCCACTATGCAGACCGTGCCTCCGCTATGCAGTAAACGAGCCTACACCATACAGCACAGCTTTTTTAAATCTTGGTTTTTATGAGTGATAAAAACTTTTAACCAATTCAGGAAGAAAAAAAATTAATGAATTCACTTTTTATCTCTTTCTTTAAATATTTGTAGCAATTAAGTTGGAAATAAAATGAATTCTATGAATTAATAAATTAAATGAATTATAACAAATTTATGTTTTCCATTATAACAAATTTTCTAATATCTCCGTCAATTTTGAAGGTGAAAAAATGGTAGACCACATTTTGGAAATCTCGAAACTAGCAGTTTTCTGTGTTAAATAATTTAGCTGTGATACAGTGATAACCAGAAAACAATGGAATAGAAAGACGACATTATAGCAATTCTTTAGCGTTTTGATGTTGTTACAAAGCAAATATCTTTACTAGTAACTTAACAAAACACTATTTAAGTGAAATGGGTCTATTTACACTGTACAATTGCTATTTCTAATGTTCATTGAACTAGTTTAAGTCCTAACTTGAGTTTAAAATTCGTCTTCCTATTTCTGGTTATCACTGTACTACAAAATCATATTTACGAAATATCCCGCGTGGAACAAAGACGATAAATAAGTCGTCATTTACGTCCCATGTTTACTAGGACAACCTATAACGTAGTACAATTATTTTTTGGTGTTAATTTCTAAAAATAAAATGTGGATATATAAATTTAGGCAATTCAGGTTACCACTTCGTTAGTTACAAAAAAGATCCGGGCCCATTGAGTGTTGTATGGCTCCATATCCATTCTGTATGCTCCCCAATCATGGTAAAAGGATGGTCATGGGGAAATCTTCCAAAAATCTGTTAAGGTAGGGGGCTTATACAGGGTGTCCCAAAAAACATGGGAATTCAGTGACGAATTCGATATCGTCTTTGTTATGAATTAGCATTGTAATACCTGATTTCAAAAGACATAATATTATTATGTCTGCAAGAGTTTATTTTATGAGAAGGGTAAAAGACTGTAAAGATGTGTTTATAATGTCTCTGCAAGATGAACAGTGTAGACGGACAAGTTTACTCTGTTTGAATACTGCAATTTTCTTGTTTTACTCAGTACAACCGTATGCAGTCAAAACATAAAGAAACAAAATGTGAATATAGCAGACGAAACTTTTACAGATCAAAGCTTTCTCAGTAGGTATCACTATACTAAATCAAAGAATTATTTGAAAAGACGATATCGAATTCGTCACTGAATTCCCATGTTTATTGGGACACCCTGCATGATTATATCAGCCCTCTGTTGAAAATTATATGGTTTACTATTCCAGGAAAAAATGAAAAAAATTGTTAAAAACCACAGAAAATAAACAAACAAAAAGATTATGCAAAATGAAAATTTGGGCTGTCAAATGGAAATAAAGGAAACGAACTCAGATTATGAGATGGAAAAAAGATAATTTGCAAATATTCCCTTTTTTAAAAAAATGTTAAAGACAATTATTATTCCCATGAGATTGTTTCTGTCACAAAGATTAAAAATAAACTGTTTAGTGTATGTGTATAAAGTGGTGGCGGGGGTCGTTTTAATTAACAAACTTTTAAGTAAATCGGGGGGAGGGGGAGGGGGGGACGGCTTGTTAAAGGAGGGGTATTTAAACCTTTTAAAGAATTGGACATAAACAACTCTTTTTAAAACAATATTTTATAGAGACGAAGATAATTTTTAAATGTGTTTTTCAAATCAAAATACATGGGAAAATGTCATAGCATTGTTTTATGTATAGCATTGTGAATTGTAATGCCAATGGTTAAACTTTAGGGGGAGTGATCCCCATGCATGGGAGTCCGCTCCATGGCATGACACCGGCTACACCGGCCTCAATTGCAATGTGCCCGCCATGGCTAATTTTTCCACGGATAGGGATTGGAGAGGAATTCCTCCATATTCCCCATATTTTTCATCTTTAAATGTCCCCCCCCCCCAACTTCAAAACTTTAAAAACGACTTAAAATTTTTTTAACTCAATTGATGTATTTGTTATGATATATATATAATATTCTATATATTGCATTTAGTGTTTAAAGTACAATTTTATCAAAATATAAATTTGAATAATAATTTTATTATTCCGTCGTCTTCACATATACCAAATTTCAAACGAAGGCGACATTTAGAATTTCGAAATAATGAAAGTATCATTAACATTCGTTACATTTAAAAGTAACACAATTCTTTTCAATTTAGTCAGCTAGCGTCAAGATGTGCAAAAAATATAATTTGTTGAGTTTAACGTTTTTTGGATAACACTGTAAAGTGTACACTTCTTTTGTTGCAGAAGTTTGGACAGGTCCAAAAAAATTATTAAATATTTAAGATGTAGATTTTTTGAAGGCGTTTGAAAAATAATGATAAACTTTGCAAAAAAAATTGGCTATCGGAAATGAATCCTTTAGAGTAGGTTAACCCCTGAAAACCGGATTTTAAGGGGTTTGGCTTTTACATCGAGCAGTTTGTAACTGAACCTGAAAATCTAGTCCAAATCAACAATGGCGGACTTGCTGCTTCCGGTCTTGTGACGCAGTTTAATATTTCTGCGGATTTTTCAGGATTTTCTCGTTATTTATTCGAGTTCTCGTGCTTTATTAAAATAATAATTATTCTTTGTCATATTAAGTTAGTTATACGTAACACGATAATTTTGAATGTGACTGTTTTCAGAGAAAATTCAGATATTTAAAGTTAAAATTAGTTTCTGATAAACATGGCGGCCGTTGCAATCTGATGAAACATTCAGATTTTTCAACCTTTCGCTCTGGTGATGAATCAACGGTAAAATAATAACTATTCGAAACGAAAGGATCAATAAAAAATTTGTTTCCCAAGTTTTTGCTACTTTTTGATATAATACGTCTGTGGGCTTATAAATTAGGTCGATAAGAAAACTTCAAAGCAAAACATTTTGCATAGAAAATGTTTGGAGAATTAAAAATGTTAAGTATTTTTTATGTTTACACATCCTACAGCCAACCAGAGGTTGTTTCCTAGACTTCTGTCATTATACTCCAAATTAATGTTAGATGGGTTAAAACCGAAGAGAATTTTTGGACCTGCCTCGGCGTTTGATTTTTATAAGAAAATTCGGTAATTTCCCAGAGACCGATTTAAGAGGGGGTCCAAAAATCGTTCTCTAGGAAGGAACCTACTCTTGTAAATCACACAACATACATAATTTTTAAGCAATAAAATTTTCTCACCATAGAATATAGTCGGCATTTAATGTGTAATCCGTTTTTATCCTTAAATCTAGTCAACCTTCCATTGAAAGTGATGTAACGTTTATTTAGGTAATTTTGGTGGACGTAAGTGTTTAAGAGCAAAGATCTACTATATAATAAGACAAAATATTCGTACATAGGTTCCCTATAGCTGACCAAACGGCTGGATCAAATGGGCTGATATTTTTTTAGGAAACCTAGGGGTATCCCGGGGCTGCCTTAGGCTAAAAAAAATTAACAATTTTTTCAACGTTTAATTTTTTTAAATTTAAATTTTATTTTTTCAGATTCCACGGGTAACGCCGGGCACTTCAGCCAAAAACGCATTAGATTGCTTTACAATTTTTACTTTTTTACTTTGACGTTTGGCGTAAAAATAGAACAGGAATTCTATTCTTTCCAACTAAATTATTTTTGCTAGGTTTCCCTCTAATGTCAACCAAAGTGCTTTCCACGAATAAATGTTTAGATTTTTTGAAAAATGTATGTTTAGGTAATGCTGTACTCCGCCGAGCATGTACGGCAGTCCGCCGCCGAATCGCCGCACACGCATCATCTTCAAGGTCGGTACAAAACAGCAGTGAACAGGGGTTTATATTTTACTTAAAATCTCCACCCCCACTATCAGAAAAACATTTATTATCTAGAAGATATATATATGATTTCTCGGAGCGCCAATTTTTGTGGTTATCGCTGAATTGGGGAATTAAATGATTTTCAGTGAAAATAACCGATTTTTTGGGTAAAAGAATGAAAAACTTGTCTGTTGATATGTCCCATTTTTCATTTTTTTCCAATTGATTAAATTGTGTAAGACCCCTGGCAGTAAATATATTTCTTAGTTTTTGTGAATATCTAACTTATTTTTGCTTAATAGGAAATTATTATCGAATTATTAGGTTTAGAGGTCCTCGAGAACGATTAACAATAAAAGTTACTTGATAGGTTTTTTTTTGGGGGGGGGGGAGAGAGAACATTTTTGGGACGCTTTAAACCTTTTGGGAAGCAATTTTGGCTTCTTGGATTTGTCCTCCTGGAAGTGGCTTCATATGAGAATGCCTTTTAACCCTTCTTTTTTATGTTTCAGAACCCACTAACCCGTTAACCTTTTTTTTCGTTATTTTCAATTTTTTTCGGTTTCTGGTTTTACTGGCTTTAATTTTAGGAAGGAGAAAAAATTGAAGCAAGAGACCACCTTGGTAGTAGATGGTGGGAGGCGAAGGTATTTCAAAATAAATTAAAAAAATTTGATTTCTTTGAATTTCATTTTCAAATTTCTTATTAAAAGTTTTTCAAATGAATGTTGCTAATTTCTGCTTTAATAACATTAATTAATGACCAAAGTTGTTTTCCAAGTGTTGTTCACTGTTTTTTTTTTTCTCTCACACCTTCTTCTCACTTTTTTGCAGAACCAATTCTTACCATCCAATTATTAAGAAAGTTAATGATCTCTGATGAGTTGACATCTTAAATCTGAAAAACAAAATTTAGTTTATATTTGGCCGGTTGGATCCGGATCCGTGGATCTGTATTGCAAATCCGGATCTAGTCCCACATGAATCTGGATCTGTGGAGCTGTATTTTTTGCAAATCCGGATCCAGTTCCAATGAATCCGGATATGTGGAGCTGTATTTTTGCTCAAAACCGGTTGCCACATGGATCTAGATTTGCAAATCCGGATCTAGTTCACTTTTCACATAGATCCAGATCCGAGCTTCTTTATTTTTTTGCTAATTCGGATCCAGTTCCAATAGATTCGGATCCGTGATTCTGTATTTTTTTAATTATCCGGATCCAGTTCTAATGAATCCGGATTTGTGGAGCTGTGTTTTTGTGCAACTCCGGATCTAGTTTCACATGGATCCGGATCCTAAGACCTGTTTGTTCAGGTAGTTGAGGTAGATATATCCTGCAGTGAGGTTCTAGTTCATTTTATTGGATGGAACGAAAGGCAGGGGCAGATATTTTCAATGTTCAAGAAGGGGGGGGGGCGTCTATTAAAAACGAAAATAACAGACATGAAATCCTGTTTGACGAGGTTTACTCAAACATTTACTTTATTCTAAAAAGACATATTTTTCTTAAATCAGTGACCCTAAAATCGGGAGAGGACAAAAGTTTTTTTGTATCAGAAAATAAATACCCCTGTCTCAAGGCATGATGAATGGATCAGTATGGACTCACCACGACTACAACCTGCGCCAAGGAAAACAAGGTCTACTTTTTTAAAACTTGCTTTTTTAACAAATTTTATATTCCTAGTTAGGTTAGTCATTAGCTGAGATCGGAACCTATGGGTAGACTATTGTTAATCTTGGAACGCTTGATCTTGATATCCAATGTTGGAACTTTTAAATTTGAGGATCAATGTTTGACCCATGCAGGGTATGACCAGTGACCATCAGGGGATTAACTACACAAAAGTTCTGACATGATATCCCGGTTTATATTGGAAAAGTTTAGACATTAATCCGAATTATTTATTTTTATTTATGCAAATAAAAAAATTATGTAAACGTTTAGAAGAGTTTATATTATTCAGTACACAATGGTTAGCGCAGATTACACTTTGAAAGTAAACTGTGACCAATAAGAAATATAAAAACTGATCTTTTAAAAATCATCTAATTTCAATGTCTCAGATAAAATTTTGTAAAAAGAATAACCAGGTCGCGATTAATCATTCATTTCATTATTTAAATGAATTAATTTATGTGGATGAAATATTGAAATTTTTTCTTCATTTGAAAAATACATTTTGTCTCCTATCCGTTGGTTAGTTGAAATTTTGATCTTGTAAATTGCAGTGCTAAGGATCCATTTAATTTTGGTGCAGATGTGGATCCGGATCCTGGATCCGCACTGAGAAAAATAGATCCGGATCCAAGTCATTTCTTGTAAGATCTTCTGAATTTTTTAACATAGCAAAATTTCCAATTTGTCTTATTTTTTTGCTGAATCAGGAAATTTTTATAATCTCGTGTTTCAATATTTCAGATTTGGGTTTGGAGAGTAAAAAAAGTATTATTTTTTTCAGTTTTTGGTTGATATTTTGGCCCTTGGCAGCATAAAGCCAATCTTATAAATCCGGATCCTAAGCACTGCTTGTAATTGCAGGAAATTTTATTGAATAAAGTTTTTGAAAATTTTTAAAATAATCCGTTTGATCTTGATACAGATTGTATAGGCAATATGGCGAAAGAATGTATTTTGCTTCTGTTCTACATTAAATAAACTAATTTGTTATATTTTCATGCTGGCAGCGGAGATAATATTTTAACATTGTCCAGCCTATCATTTTCACTGGAAATTCGGATGAAGCTACAACAAAAGTCGTCTTTTTGATATTTTTTATTGTTAGTGATTATTTAAATTAGATTTTCGCGTTTAGAAATAAATTCTAATTTTTTTAATGACATCGTTTTTAGGGTGAAAAAAAAAAGAGAATTAAATGATGAATGTATAAATGATGAATGTATTAATGTATATATTTAGAAGATCGAGTAACAATATCCGGGATTCCGGAGATGGTTCAAATCCAGGGTCATCTCTTAAACTCAATTGCTTGCTATCTCAGCATGAAGGGTCACTTGAAATTATGCCAACATTACAGTCCCTTTAAATAAAACTTACCAGAAATCATTCATTTTAATGAAAAATAAAAATTTAGCAATTTAAATATATATATTATTTATCCTCTTTAAGTGACTGTTACAGAGATTCGCCATACAAGCATGGACATCTTCACAATTTTTCTCAGAAAAAGTTTTGAATTTTATCATTGTGAATCTGACCTGCTCCGCTCTAAGGAGAAGGTCACTTCCGTCGGAAGTAATTTTTACAGAGAAACCACAGTTCAAATGAATTTAATCCAGAAAGAAAAAAAAAGAATATCTTCCAGATTTCCCCAGACGATTATAATAATGTGATGTTCAGACTGGAATCTGACGGTGCCTATATGATCGAGTACTACGACGGAATCAAGAAGAAACTTCGCCCCCAGTTTATTCGGAAAATATCGCTAGACGACCTTCCGTTTATTGAGGTAAAAATATTCACGTGAATCCGGAATCGGGATTCGGATTTTAAAAAGTGCGTCAGAGCTTTTCAAAATGGAAAGATTGTTTTTCACCATTTCAATTAACTGTTTTCTCACATATTAAATTATTACTGAAAAATAAGAGCGTTTCCAAGTGGGGTTTTAGCACTCAATAGCAATAAAAACAAACCAATAAATCTTGATTCATAAATAGAAGACACAAATCTTCATCATTTCATTTCTTGAACTGGTTCTTGGTAGATAACCCGTTTTTTATCCTCTTTTTGAATGATTTGGCAGACGATTTCGTCTGTAAATGTCTTTACTATTTTGATCAGTAGATTAGGAAACCCCTATTCTCTACCTTCTCCACCTTTTCCCCATCTAAAAACTCAGGACACATTTAACATGCTATATTTAAATGTAGCATCCACTTAAAAAATCAAGCAAATGCATTATATAAATTGGTAAACAAACAATCACATAATCACATGCATTATTTTCAAATGAAGAATTAACTTTTACTTATAAAAGGGTTTTTAACATTTCAGCAAGGTAACATAAATTTAAAATACAGTGAAAGTCCTAACAAAAACATCAATGAAATATAAAAACTTATTTGCAACCCTTCATAATGTCAATTGTTCCAACTTGAAATAGTCGTATTTCATTTGGAGTTTTAAAATCTAATTTCTTTGGTATGTACTCATGGAACCTCACAAATATGATACAATATTAATCTTATGAGGATACAAATGTAAAAAGGAAGCTTAAGAAGCTCGGCCTTTGTTAAAGAATACATCAAGATGATTTCATCTCGTTTAAGAATTTCCATTATTACATTTTTTCCTCATAAGAATATCATATTATGTTTTAAACATTTAACATCACAAAGGTTGTTATGGGATTTTTTTTTCAGATAATTTATTTTCTGTAAAAAATTTCATTTTTTAATTCTCTGTCGCTTTTTAGGGCTGTAAAGAGGACCTTCAGATAGCAGTCGCGGGACTCAATGGCGACACAACGAAGTTCCGAGCTCGACATAGATCTAGCTCGTCGACGGATGAATCGTCGTCCGTGAGCGAGAAAGGACGCCGACGAAAGTCCAAGTTCAGCGTAAAGGAGATATTTAATATACAAGATAAAAAACCAGTGGACGGGAAAGGCGACTCCCCGGTTCGAAAAACTTTGGAATCGGCCGATTCGCCGAAAACCGAAAAACTTTCTGAACTAGAAAACTCGAGTGTCGTCAACAGTTCGAAGAATAAACTTCGAACCAAGTCCAGTGAATTGAACGAACCAAAAAGTGAATCTAAAGCCGCCAGATATTCGAAAAATTCTGCGAACCTTTCGGACGATTTAAAGAGTCCGCCAAGTGAAAAGACTGTTAAAGGGCAACGGACCGAAAAAGAACCATTTTCTAAACTTGTCAACGATCATAAACAACAATACAAAACAGTTCTTAATTTTATGTATTTTATATTCGACAATCCAACTTCGTCAAACCCACCAAGGATGAGACGAGACCCCAAAGCTAATAAAACACTCGAAATAAAGATTAAATTTATTGAACAAAGAAAGAGATTAGATAAACAGTCTAAACTAGGCAATTCACTTAATATGCTTGAAAGGAATATAAAAACATACTCAAGGTTGCCTTGAGAGAAGTACCTTAAACAAGTAAATGCCCGATTAACAACGGTACCCTTGAACCTTCATCTGATTATGAATTTGACATCAATGTTTTAATTTCTTTAAACTGATTATTTTCAATTTTTGATTCTCTACAGAAGTGACCTGCGCAATTCTTCTGGAGGAAACTCAAGAGTTTTCAGAATTAAACAATTATAAACTTGGAAAAGCGATAATATCTTCCACATTTATTATGAGATGAAGGTTTCAAGGGTAATTAATAAATGGGATGTTTTTCATATTCAATCTGAGGGAGCCAAGACTGTCTGAACAAAGTTCGCATATATTCTGCACAATTGTGTCCTGAGTTGGTTTTTATTTATTTAACGCTGTATTTTTATACGAAAAATAAACAATGTTTTTTCTTTCAGGAATTTAAAACTGGAGACGAAGTTATGGCCCTCTGGAGTAAAACAAAATATCCAGCTAAAATTTTAAGGTTGGTAATTTTATTGTTGCAACGAAACAGCCTTCAAACCTTGATATTAGACTTTGAAAAGTTAGACAACCCATTTCCCCCCCCCCCCAAAAAAAAAAAAAATAAATAGATCCGCTCCGCGCACAATAACTAACATTTGAGAGAAACAAATAATTTTCTAGTTAAAGGAATTGTACTACCCTAATTAACTAAGAAACTACGTGAAGATATTTTTGTTAATTGTATTGGTTAGTTAAAAAAAAAAAAAAAAAAAAAAT